AGCACTAGGTCTAGGAAATGCCTACCCGTGTCCCATTCTGTCTGCTATAAACTACCCTGGGGTAGGAGACTACATAGTTTTTTTTTCAATGTTAAAAAAATATAGTAGAACAATATCAACCAGTTACTCAATAAAGGGAAAGTTGTATTGCTTCCATTTTGGAAAAGCAGTCTAATTCTGAGAGTAAACACAATTTAAGGTAGGAATCATTTCTAAATGTGAGCAGTTAGAATGAATAAAAGACAAAAAATAAAGTTCGGCTAGGTTATCATATTGCATCTGCTGTTGGACAGAGTGCAAGCAGCACAGCCAACTATCTTAAGAATCTTGCAGTACAGATAGCCTACTTAACTTTGTACAACCTTGCATTTAGTACTGGTCTGTGATCATTGCAAGTCTATTAATATTTTCTGGGACACTAGAAATTTGCAGAACATTAGTTGGAAAAATACTATATTTAGACATCATTAATTCAGTTATGTACAGTGTAGAAGTTTGATAGGTCAAAATATCTTTATAGCATCAGTAAATACTGTTATTAAAATCTGAATTATAAATTAGTAATTGTGAAAATGACAAAGGTCCAGAGTACAATGATTTTCTTTTTTTTTTTTGTGTGTGTGTGTTCTTTTCAGTTTCTTTTATTTTTTTTTATTTTTTTTTTAACCTTTTTTTTTTTTTCTTTATTGAATCACCGTGGGAAAGGTTACAAAGCTTTCAGGTTTAGGTCTCAGTCATGCAAATTTCAAACACATTTCCCTTTACCAAAACTCATTTTTTACCATGAAGAACCCCAATAAAACCCCACCCCCCCACCCCTCCCAGTCCCTGTGGGGCAGATGAAATCTAGTTAACACTCTATCTGCTTTGATTAGATTCATTGTTTCAATAAAAGATTCACCACTATTATTTAGAGTTTACCCCCCCCCCCCCAAATCAGACATGCTGAAAAAGCATTGTGAAGTGATTTGCTTTCTACAGCTGGGTTCAAGAATTAAATGTTGTTTTGAATTTCTGCTATTTTACTTATTGACCCTGGAAGTATTTCTACTGAAAGTCAGATAGTTAAGAAATTGGTTTCTGTGCACTGGAGACGTGGCCGTGCTGGAGAGCCGCTAGTGGGGGGCAACTGGTGGCCTCGGTAGGGCGTGAAGGGCGGACCGAAACGCCCCCCTTCCCATGAGGTTTTAGTCGCCCCCACTCCCCCGGCTCATACCTGCTGTCCACAAGGCTACCATGCGGCCGCCATCTTTCTTTCCAGAGAGGAGAAGGCGACTGGGGCAACACCCTTTCCCCTCTGGACAGACCTGATGGCCTGGATTAACGCATAGTCCATTCACTTTTCTGCTCCAAGCTGCCGGGTTCTGCATTAAGTCCTTGTGCTTCTGGGGCCGTGGCCGTGCTGGAGAGCCGCTCGCAGGGGGCAACTGGTGGCCTCAGTAGGGCGCGAAGGACGGACCGGAACGCCCCCCTTCCCATGAGGCTTTAGTCGCCCCCACACCCCCGGCTCATACCCGCTGTCCACAAGGCTCCCATGTGGCCGCCATCTTTCTTTCCAGAGGGAGGAGGGCGGAAGGGACCAACACCCTCTCCCCTCCGGGCAGACATGATGGCCTGGATTAACGCATAGTCCTTTCACTCTTCTGCTCCAAGCTGTTGGGTTCTGCATTAAGTCCTTGTGCTTTTGGGGCTGTGGCCGTGCTGGAGAGCCGCTCGTGGGGGGCAACTGGTGACCTCGGTAGGGCGTGAAGGACGGACAGAAACGCCCCCCTTCCCATGAGGTTTTAGTCGCCCCCACTCCCCCGGCCCATACCTGCTGTCCACAAGGCTCCCATGCAGCCGCCATCTTTCTTTCCAGAGAAGAGAGGGCGAATGGGGCAACACCCTTTCTCCTCCGGCAGACTTGATGGCCTGGATTAACGCATAGTCCATTCACTTTTCTGCTCCAAGCTGCCGGGTTCTGCATTAAATCCTTGTGCTTCTGGGGCCGTGGCCGTGCTGGGGAACCGCTCGTGGGGGGCAACTGGTGACCTCGGTAGGGCGTGAAGGACGGACCGGAACGCCCCCCTTCCCATGAGGTTTTAGTTGCCCCCACAGCCCCGGCTCATACCTGCTGTCCACAAGGCTCCCATGTGGCCGCCATCTTTCTTTCCAGAGGGAGGAGGGTGGAAGGGACCAACACCCTTTCCCCTCCAGGCAGACATGATGGCCTGGATTAACGCATAGTCCATTCACTTTTCTGCTCCAAGCTGCCGGGTTCTGCATTAAGTCCTTGTGCTTCTGGGGCCGTGGCCGTGCTGGAGAGCCGCTCGCGGGGGGCAACTGGTGACCTCGGTAGGGCGTGAAGGACGGACCGGAACGCCCCCCTTCCCATGAGGTTTTAGTCGCCCCCACACCCCCGGCTCATACCTGCTGTCCACAAGGCTCCCATACGGCCGCCATCATTCTTTCCAGAGAAGAGAAGGCGAATGGGGCAACCCCCTTTCCTCTTTGGCAGACTTGATGGCCCGGTTTAACGCATAGTCCTTTCACTTTTCTGCTCCAAGCTGCTGGGTTCTGCATTAAGTCCTTGTGCTTCTGGGGCTGTGGCCGTGCTGGAGAGCTGCTCGTGGGGGGCAACTGGTGACCTCGGTAGGGTGTGAAGGACGGACCAGAACGCCCCCCTTCCCATGAGGCTTTAGTCACCACCACTCCCCCGGCTCATGCCTGCTGTCCACAAGGCTCCCATGTGGCCGCCATCTTTCTTTCCAGAGAGGAGAGGGCGAATGGGGCAACACCCTTTCCCCTCTGGACAGTCATGATGACCTGGATTAACGCATAGCCCGTTCACTTTTCTGCTCCAAGCTGCTGGGTTCTGCATTAAGTCCTTGTGTTTCTGGGGCTGTGGCCGTGCTCCAAACTTAACTACGATTTTCAGAGAGAAGCGTTGGGTAGTTTACTTTGTATATATGGATCACTTTGTATGTAGAGAGATGTTTTGAGGAAAAGTCCTAGTTCCCGCATACTCGAGCTGTGGTTGTTGAGGCTTCTGGTCACCGGGGTCCCATCTGGGGGAGGCGGGATGCGGTACCTACCCCATCTGGGGCTTCCCGATGATCTCGGCTCTTTTTGGAATCTGTTTTTCTCTTTTTTTCCTTCGGGATCTGTGGGTCCCGCCCTCCATGTTGTCCTTCTCTTTCTACAATGATTTTCTTAAGTGTCTTTTTTTTTTTTTTGGAGGGGGTTTGGGTGACACCTGGCCATACTTGGGATTATTCCCAAAACTGAGTGCTTTGTGTCACTCCTGGAAGTGCTTGGGGGAGCATGTGCTGGGGAGTGAAACAGTGGCGGCGGCAGGAGTGTTTGGACCACACTTGCTCTTGGTTCTGTCCTCAGGGACCACTCCGGCAGATATAGGGGACCATGTGGGGTGCCAGGGATCAACCCAGGTCGACCATGAGCAAGGCATACACCTTATCCACTGTTCTATCTACCACCCCTCAAATTCTTCTTTCTTTTTTTCCTTTCGTTTTATTTGGGCCACACCTGGCTGTGCTCAGGGCTTACTCCTGGCTCTGAGCTCAGTGAATTATTCCTGGTGCTGCTTAGGGGTACATATCGGGTGCTGGGGATTGAACCTGAATTGGCTGCGTGCAAGACAAATGCCTTACCTGCGGTACTATCATTCCAGGCTCTTATTTTTTTCTTTTTTTAGTGGAGTGGGGGTGGGGGTGGGGGGAGTATTGGGCCACACTCAGCTCAGGGGTTATTCCTGACTCTGCATTGATGCTCAGAGAACATTATGGGATGCCAAGGATCAAACCCCAGTCAGCTACATTCAAGGCCTCCCCACTGTACTATGGCTCTGGTCCCTCAATTTCTTTTTTACTTCAAGTTTTGCATACAGTATTTGGTACTTTTATTTGGGCGGGGTGGGGGGCTTGGAGGGGAAGTGTAGAATAATTTACATGTAGTTTTACATCATAACTTTGTTTTCCCCACTGCTTTAAAATTAGTGTTTTCATGCCATTTCAGTTGATTGTTTTTGGCCACACCCCGTGGTGCTCAGGGCTCACTCCTGGCTCTGTGCTCCTCAGGGATCACTGTGGGTGATGCTTCAGAAACCGTATGAGGATTGAATCTAGTCTGTTGCTTGCAAGGCAAACAACCTACCTTATGTATTATCACTCTGACCCCTGATTTTTTTTTTAATAGTGGTCAAAGAATAATTTAGTTTTTCTTTACTAGTGGACAATTAAGCTATTTCCAGATTTTCTTTTGTAAATATCTTCAAGATTTAGCTTAAAATTTAGTTTGAGGTTTAATTCTTGAAATTGTTTTAAATGTTGATGGTAATATTCTTACAGATTTTGAGGCAACTTTAAATTTTCACATACAGTCCTACTTTTGTTTAGATATAGTGGGTATGTTAAGATAGAAATGCCCAGTGGAAATGTTAAGGTGGCTGTGATGTCACCAGTTATATTTTTGGTATATTTACCATCTTAGGAATATATTCTTTTTTTCTAATAGACTTGTTTAAAAGCTCTGCTTCTGCTTCTGCTGATGTTTTTTCTTAATACCTTAATTTATGTGACTTTACTTAACTTCTTCAACATTTCCATCTTTCCAGTCTGTTAAAAAAATTTTTTTTAAATCTGCAACAGGATTATAATATTGCTGAAATAATTACTTAGGATTTGTGATTTAAAAAAAAGTTTCCGTGGCCAGAGCAATAGTCCAGTAGGTAAGGCACTTGCCTTGCTTGCGGCTGACCTGAGTTTGATCCCCAGCATCTCATATGGTCCCCTGAACACTGCCAGAGGTAATTCCTGAGTGCAGAGCCAGGAGTAACCCCTGAGCATTGCCAGGTGGAACCAAGAAGTTAAAAAAAAAAAAACCCATTTCCAAAACACCCCATTTATTGACTTGTTTTTTTTTCCCCCAAAATTAGAGGTTGTGAACTTTGTTCTTTTTTTTTTTTTATTTTGCTAATGCTATTTCATTTCTTTCCTCAACAGATTCAAAAGCTTTGTGACAGAGTAGCTTCGTCCACTTTGCTGGATGATAGAAGGAATGCTGTGCGTGCTCTTAAGTCACTGTCTAAGGTCTGGAACTCTTGGTCCTTCTCAAGTTTATTAAATTGGCTGTTAGGTTAATGTTTCTTTAATAACATTTTACTTTTTCACATGCAGAAATACCGCTTGGAAGTGGGTATTCAAGCTATGGAACATCTTATCCATGTCTTACAAACAGATCGGTAAGTTTCTTTAATAATTTGCCTAATTTTCCTTGAAATTTTTATTAATTTGTTTTAGAATCACTATTCCAGATTGATGACTATTATGGCTATTAAGTTTTATTTTTAGTTGTCATTTCAATTGACATTTATTGCATACTGGGTAGGAATCATTTTACTAAACATCACAGCAGAAATTATGTCAATCTTCAGAAGTTGAGCACTTTCCAATCTATAAGAATAGAATAAAATAGTTGCTAATTAAAGTCTTAGGATTTTTCGGTTTAGACGAATGGGTGTTTTGATGTTCCCATAGATATGCTCCAGTGGAGCATTCTCAGCTGGGAGCCATGGCCCTCAGGATATTCCAAAGAGACCACAGGTGGAAATCATGTAAATATGGAGCTGTGGCACAAGACTAGTGCACCAACCAGTATGACAGAGTTGCAGGAGGGAAATAAGGTCAGCAGTGCCATGTTTAGGAAAAGATGCAAAAACACTGCTGGTATACTATTCCATGGTACATACACTACTATATTAGTTATCCACACTTGTTTTTATTAGAGAAATAAACTGTATTAGGGTGATTGAGCTATATCTAGCAACTTTGCTGGTGACCTCATTAGTTTTGATAGATTTTAAGTAAACTGCTCAGGGTTTTCTTTATATAAGATCATATCATCTCTGAATCACTGTATCACTGTCTTCCTGATGTTCATCGATTGCTTCGAGCAGGCCCCAGTAACGTCTCCTTCATCCTAGCCCTGAGATTTTAAAAAGTGCCACATTCAAGGCTCTTTCAGGGTCAGGAGAATGAAACCCATAATTGTTACTGGTTTTTGGCATATTGAATACACCACGGGGAGTTTACCAGACTCTGCCATGTGGGCAGGATACTATTGGTAGCCTGCCAGGTTCTCCAGAGTAAAAACTAGATGATAAGATGCTTCCGGATACAGGGTTTTTATAGTCTCTGCGTCTTGGCCATTGATGGGATTACACGGCGCCAGGGGCAGTTGGTGGGTGTAACGTCTACATACTAGAAGATGGGGGATCTGGGTGGAGGAGGCCCCAGTCCCAATCTGAGCAGGCTTGGAGATCTATGCCCCACACACTTACTCTTTTCTTTTTCCAGGTCACACTCAAAGGTGTTCAGGGCTTATTTCTGGCTTTAAGCTCAGGGATCACTCCTAGCAGAGCTTAGGGTACCGTATGGGGTGCCAGGGATTGAACCTGGGTCAGCTTCATGTGAGACAAATGCTTCTTTCTATTTTCTAGTTGTATACCTCTTATTTCTTTTTCATGCCTAGTTCTAGCTAGGTAGATTGTTGGTCTTAGAGGACTAGAAGGGATACTGCTTCTTGTTAATGGAGAAAGAGTCAGTCTTCCTTGGTTCTACATGCCGTTGGTTGTGGGATTTTCTTAAATACCCCATATGTTTCTGAAGGTTTCTTCTGTTCTTACTTTTTTAATGTCTGTAAAGATGATCTTCAAAATTTCTCAAAAACAGATGTTTAAGGCCACACCCAGTGGTACTTGGGACTTAACTCTAGGCTCTGTACTCAGAGTTCAGGGGGCCATGTTGGTGCCAGTGTGGTTCCTGTGACTCACAGGACACTCTCTTTGTTTGAGTGTAACTTGGATTTGGGATCCCTTTCATCCTTTATCTCTGCTTTTGTCATCATACCTGATCAGTTCAGATTCACTACATCTTTAAACTTGTTTTCGCTGTAGACGCCATTTCACAGAATCTGTCAGTGATTAAAATATTATACTTAATCCTCGATTTTCTTGTAAAATAAGTGCAGAGAAGGGAAAAAACTCTGTATTCTTGTTATATAACCTTAACGTACATATTGTAAAACATGTATATAAATGTAAATATTACTTTGCTGACTTTAAAATTGTTGGATCTGTTTTCTGAATGTGTTTAAGTTTTTGTTACTGTATATAGTTATATATGGATGTATATGTATTTTTTCATATACATATGAGATCATTTTATACATTGTTTTCCCTGTTGCCATTTTCAAGTGGGCTTCAATTGCCATATCATTAAACATGTTCTTCAAAAATATATTTTTTTTTATTGTTACTATGAAAGTGCATTTCTCCTACTCCTTTTTTTGTTTTGTCGCCATACCCGGTGGTGCTGGAGGACTCTCCTGGCTTGGGGAGTGGTGCTGGGTGATCCTGCAGTTCCAGGAATTATACCCAGGGTTCCGCATGGAAATTATGCACTCCAGCTCTTTATCTCCTTGGCTCCTTAATTTTGTTTTACTTTGGAGGGTTATATTGCTCCTCAGTGTTCACTATTATAAATAAATCATTAAACATTTTTTTATGATTTGCACTCATATTTTCTTAGAGAAGATTTTTAGAAAAAGAATTAGAATTCTATACAATTCTATAATTTAGTCTTACTAAATACCCGTGTAAATATGATAACAGGGGGCTAGAGAGATATAATACAAAGAGGAGGATGCTGACCTTGTACATGGCTGATTGGGTTTGATCCCCTAATACCCCACATGTCCCCTAAGTTAAGCCAAGAGTGATTTCTGAGTGCATAGCTCGGAGTATGCCCTGAACACCTGACATGGCCCCCAAAAGTAAAAAACAGACAAACAAAAACATACAATTATAACCGCTTGAATTTAATTAGCAGCTTATAAGGATAATCATTTCTCTTTTCTAGTGCCGATTCTGAAATAATAGGTTATGCTTTGGATACATTATATAATATAATATCTAATGAAGAAGAAGAAGAAGTAGGTAAGTTTCTTTCACTGTGTTTTCTGTCCACAAAATTAACTGAGTTATGTCAGTGTTACTGGTTTCACAGTTGAGTATATTTTTCAGTATTATTTATAAGTTCTTTTTCTCTTTTCTTTAATCAAGAAAGGAAAGACAGGGCCGGGGAGCTAGCTCAGAGAGCTGGTGAGTACGTTTTGCATGCAGGAGTCCCAGGTTTGCTCCCTGGCTCTGCATGGTTCCCTGAGCACCACCGGGAGCGGCCCCCAAGCACCGCCGGGCGTGGCCACCCAAAAATATAAAACTAGGGGAATAAAAGGAAGGAAAGACATCAGCTTAGCTCCATAAAAAGTATCTTTAAGATGGTTGCTTTTTTATGGGACTGGAAGATGGGATTAGGTTTTTCCCTTTTAAAAAAATTTTCTGGGGTGGTAGTACTGTGGGTAGGGCACTTGCACGGTCAGTCTTGCACATCTGACACGGGTTCAACTCCCTGAGTCCACAAGGAGTGATCCCGGAGCACAGAGCCAGGAGTAAAACCTGAGCACCGCAGGGTGTGACTCCAAAACAAAACAAAAGTCCCTCCTTACTTGATTTTAGTTGGGTACTATGAATATTGGTAATTCTGGGATTAATTTATTTTGTAATTAAGAACCAAATTACTTTATGAAGTTGAAGAACCTTTTTCCCCATAATAAATACTTAAACTTTTGGGGTTGGGTGATAGTTCAGCTGGTAGGATGCTTGCCTTGCATGCAGTCAACTTGGGTTCAATCCTTGGCATCCCATATGGTCTCCTGAGCACTGCCAGGAGTAATTTCTGAGTGCAGAGCCAGGAGTAACCTCTGAGCATAGCCAGGTGTGACCCAAAAACCAAAAAAAAAAAAAAAAAAAACCAAAAAAGATTTCAAAAACTCGAGCTCTTAACATGATTTATAAAGAACAACAATTTATTAGATTTTAAGAAGATATTTACATTAAATCTTGTATGAAATAATATAAACCAATTTGAAATTCACACATTTCATTGATACATCTTTCTTTCCCTTTTTTTTGGTTTCAAATTACTTGCATAAATAAAATAAGGAAATGCACTGTTTTATTGTCAGCATGTAAGATAACTTTAACTGCCTATAATATCTTCAGTAGCGTTCATAAACCTTATATTCGTTGATAATATTTCTCATAGCTAGGAAGGCAGAATTCCTCACATTGGATTGGCTGTTATGTTGACCGAAAGTGGGTCGTGGTTGTCGAGGCAATCATATGATCAGATGTATTATATTTTTGTACTCATCTCTTCCCCTTCTCCTCCTTTATTCCTGATTGAACTTCACCCATAGCAGGGCAGTCATTCAACATGGAGTCAGATCTCCAGCCCACATTTTTGCGTATTTTGTCAGTCTAATTTAGATGGAAAATTTCAGCTCTTTCAAAATACTGAGATAAATCATAAAGAAATAAAGGGCAAAAATATATGTAAGTATTTTACCTCACAGAGTGCCAGTAAGGGGAATATTTGAAACTATATTATATTAAAGAGTCATGGTTCTTAGACTTAAGTAATTCTTTTTCTTCACTTTTTATTGCTCTGATTCCTATCTTACTGTTTAACTTCATCCATTTCTCAAGATTGAAAATCTTTAGTAAACATAATTTGAAATTCAAGGGAAAAGAGGCTGTCAGTCATGGAGAGTATTTAAATATAATATACACAGGAACGTATTGGAGGAGAAAGAGACATATGTTTTGTAGTTATTTCTCAGTTGAGAAAATTAGGTGTACACAGTAGAACAGGAAATTAGCTTTTTTTTTTTTTAACTTCACGGAGTTATCTTGAGAATTAAGTAAGACCATATGTTAACACTTAGCTGAGGGAGGAAGGAAGAGAGGGAGGAGAGAGGATCACTAAAGAAGTCTAAAATGAGTTTATTATGTTACTAAGAATTCTCTTTAAGAAGTAGAGAGGGAAAGTATTAATATGGAATAGAACTGAAAAATATTGCTTAAATACTTAATTTTTAAAAAATTGACTTTCTTAGGATAAGTAAAGTTTTAAAACCAAGTTTAAGTTTCTATTTGAAACCCCAGAGGCAAAGTACTTGGAGACAGGTGAGAACCAGTGGATAGCGTGGTAGTTCAGTGGTGGATACCACAGCTATGAGACCCAGGGTTTCAACTCTGGCACCTTCGAGCCAAACTAAATCATGTTAGAAAAAAATGACTCTTCAAAAGAGCAATTTTCTAATAAATATTACTCTGTTCTATCCAAAGTATTATTTTTGAATACTTGGATTAAAAAGCTTAAACCCACAAATACAGGGAACTTCACAGAAAGTTGGTTTTTTTATCTTAAGTCCAACAGCTAGTGATACAGCAGAGTTTTTAAAGTGAAGTACTACCTCCAAGAGTTTGCAGAGATTTTAAAGATTTTCTTCAGAGCAGAGATTAACAACTTGCTAAGGCATCACTGAAAAGAAATCTTAAGCATATTTGGACTGGAGAAAATGACTGAAGATTAGCCAGAAGGGACAAAAAGGGAGTAGAGAGGAGAATTGCCCCTCCTTGACAACATTTTCTAACCCTTTACTGCTAAATTTGCTTTGTGTTTTGAATATGTAGCTGTATCCCTTTTAGGATATTTAAGGTATTGAGTTAACGTGAAAGTTTCTCCTTCCAAAAGATTATATTGTGTATTTATTGTGAGCGAGCATTGCTACAAAAGAAACTTTTGCCTACTTTTTGTTTATTTTGTCTACCTTTTCAGGTGATACCGAAGGTAAAACCTTGCATTTGTATATGCATGATGCTTTTAGGTTCAATTACTGATACTATAAAAGGACACTGTCAAGTGATATTTCTGACTGGTTGAAAAAAAGCCCATTCTTTTTTTTTTTTTTACATTTGTTTTACTGCGTAAAAATTCTTTAATTAGAATTTTAATTAGAGGAATAGTTGGTAATCTGCTCTTATTTCTATGGCTGCTAAAAACAGAAGGCCAGAATACCAAAATGTCCTAGTGAATCCTTTAACAAAATTAAAGGTTTTTCTCTTGTAGGACATTTATTCAAATTGTCATTTCTTTTCCTGGAAAATTATTTTTAAGCAGTTCACTTATTAAGAACAATATGGGGTAGGGCGCTTGCCTTGCATGCCTCTGACCTGGGTTTGATCCCCAGCATCCCCTGTGGTCTCTCAATCCCTACCAGGGGTGATCCCTGAGTGCAGAGTTAAGAATAAGTCCTGAACACCACTGGGTGTGACCCCTCCAATAAAACCTCCCAAAATTATATGTATATACATATATATATGTATATATACACAAACATTTTATCTATGTTTGTAGGAACTGGAAATTTTTCCAGTTCAGATAATGCTTATATGTTGATATTGTCCCTTTAAAATGATGCATGTACAATAATGTTTGACTTTTGACATTTTTATAATAATTCATGGAGCTTAATCAATTTTGTCTTTCTTCATTCTGGTGGTCTATTCAAGTTCTGTTTACTTTTAACATTGAAATTTGTTTACTTATAATTAATTCAATTTTATTTTGTTTTACTGTTTTTCCTGAGATCTAATTTTAGTAAATTTAGATGGAAATATTGTTACCGAAAGGAGGCTTAAAATGGTATATAAAAAAATATGTATCTAACAGAAATCTAACAAAATAACTATCACAAAATAACTAATTTATCACTGCAGAAAACATAACATTTTCTGACATTTGAACCTCTTGTTTAAAATCTAAAATGATACCCAACATTATGCCTTATCTCACTTGATAATCAGCTGTTTTCTTGTTCTGTATCTGTAGTTTGTATTATTATTATTTCTTCATATTTGCATATAGCTTTCCATTTTACTGTTTGTATCCTTTTGTTGTTGTTATTGCTGTTTTGTAGCATGGGCCTAAGAGAGGGACAGTTAAGTAGTGTGTTTTTGTATTGCTGTTTTGTAATGCCGGGGACCAAATTCAGGCCCTCGCACATGCGAGGCCTGATCTCTGCCATTGAGCTACATCTCTGGCCTCATGTCCATTACCTTACTTGATCTTCATAGCAATCAGTGAGTGGGTGGGACTTCTCTTTCTCAAGATAAGGAATTGGAAGCCAGACATCATGGTACATTCTCCTCCCGCCTCTCCCTCCTCCCCCCAACTTCCCCAAGTACTACATAGAGATCTGATTACTATATTCTGGCCAGTTTTCTGACAGCATTCTTTATCATGTCTTGTCATATATGTAACTAGTTTTTGGTAGTGTGTGTTTTTTTGTTATTGTTGTTTTGGGTTTTTGTTTGTTTGTTTGTTTTGCTTTTTGAGCCATACCTGGCAGTGCTTATGGGTTACTCCTGGCTCTGCACTCAGGAATCACTGCTGGTGGTCCTCAGGGGACTATATTGTACGTCAAGGCTCAAACCCAGGTCAGCTGCATGCAAGGCAAATGCCTTATCCACTATTTTATTGCTCTGGCCCCAAAATATAACTAGTTTTTGAACTCACAAGGAAATACTTCAAAACATAGGTTTGTTTGGTGATAGTCTGGGGATGAAGTTCAGCAGCAGTGCTCTTGCTTTGCATGTGTATGGTCCTAGGTTCAGTCTGGCTCTGAAAGGAAATGTAAAAGAAATACAAGTGCTCTTGCTTGACCATGGTATGAAAGCACATTTCTTGATTATCCATTTGGCAATGTCTAGAGGCATTCTTGGTTGCCAACACTGAGGGGATTTAGAGGAGTGAAACATCCTTTGTTGAAGTTATAGTGGGAGCCACGCAACCTGTTGTCTTGGGGCCATTTCTGGATGCCTGGTGGAGCTTGCAGTGCTAGGTTTTGAATCTGGGGTTCCCATAGGCAAAGTGTTACGTTCCAGCCTTTTGAACCATTGCCTTGGCCCTAAAACTGGCATCTTGTAAAGGTCAGTGATGGATACTGCCCAACATCCAAAAATGTTATCAGGAGGCCACCCCTGTAATAGAAGTATCGTTAGTTTCTCGATTGCCAGGTTCTGTTTTAGAGATAAGCTTACTCTTTTGAGCACTTACTTACTGAGTACTGGCCTGGATGCTTTGCTTATTTTGAATCTTCAAAGAAAATCTGTTGTGAAAAATGTCTGCATTTTGCAGATGAGGAGACTGCAACTTTATATAATTAGACTATCTGCCTAAAATTCTGTGGCAGCAGAATAGATGAATAGGGGTTATATCTATCTTTTTAAAGGCAGGGGTGTAGTTCAGGATGCAGAGCACCTGCTTTACTTGTGTGAGATCCCAGGTACCTCCCCGCCCTCTCCAAGCCTCCCTACCCCCCAAAAAAAGGGAACCAAGCACAGTTTGTGACCATTTGTTACACTTTTTTCCTTTTTTATGAAAGTATTTAACTGCTTCATCTCCTCACCATGTCTCTGCACGTAGAAGCAATGGTCTCTAGCTGTGTTGGCTGTGCCTCTGTCCTGAGCATGCCAGGTCCAAGGAGAGCACTGTCAGTACTGGTTGTCAATCACTCCTTTTAAACGCTTTCTTCACTTGTTTCTCAGACTAGTCTCCTGATTTTCTTTCCTTGTCAATGGGCTGTTTTTTCTTTCTCTTGTTTGCTATTTCTTTCACCATCACCCCAACCTCTTGCCATTGAAATGTCTTGGGGTAGAGATTTCTTCTCTGTTCGAATTTTCCTTTGTGATCTCATTCAAGCTCTTGACATTAAGTCTTGTATTAATTTGCCACTGTCAGATGTGTATGTACAGCACAGACTTCCACTGAAGAGCTTAAAGGTTTATTCAGTTCCTTACATGGTAACCTCACTTGAAAGGTCAGTTGAAATACAATAGCTCAATGCATGTAAATGGGAGGGGGGACATAGAATACTTACCACCCTTAAGTAGCATCTATAAGCAGATTGTAAATGATAATTTGCATGGTCAATTGTTTAGTTTTTAGTAGTTCTTTGCATATTTAAAAAAATAAAATACATTAAAATAGCCAACAGTTTGTAGACTTTTAAGTCCTAAAGACAAAAAGAAAACCTTTAAAGCAGAGTTGAGCAAGCCAGGGGGAGAACTCCGCGGCCTGATGCATAGGCTTTGTATCCAGGCTCTTCCGCAGCACCTGGAACTACCCCAGCCTCGAACCAGAAGTGGCAGATGCGTACCACTCGGCATAGCCCCCCGAGTCCAAACCAGGCCAATGAATGAGCGAGTGATTGGCGAAATGAAATGTCAAATTCGAATTTCATTGACAAATACCTTCAGAGGCTATATTTAGAGATTGTTTTTTAAAAATACACTTTGATGAGTCTGCAGTTTGCTTAATTGTGTAATAAATTACTTAACATAGTACTATAATTCAATATTGTTTCCAAGACAGAAGGGCTTCCTGGGGCAGGGGTGGGAGGTGTCATGAAGGCCTTTCAGGCAACACCCAGAAGGGGACTGGACCACTCCTGGCATTACTCAGCCAGCCAGGCTGGGACTTCGATGCTCAGCCCAGTGATTTCAGGCTGTTCATATCCTGAGGTGCTGGCTGGGGGTGACCAGGGCCACTCCAGCAGCCCTCAGGGTCCTCCAGCGCCACACCCTGAGGTGCCAGAGAGGATACTGAGGGCCTCCTGCCTCTAAGGCATGCGCTCCAGTCCTTGGATCCATCTCTCCAGCCCTGAAGGATCTAAGGGTTATGAGGACTGATTTAACAGTCAGATCTGCTCTTTGATGCAGTATAATCTGCATTTCAACAAATGTGTAAACATTGGTGTAATCACTTGAGATAGAATGTGTCCATCACCCCCAAAGTTCCCTCATGCTCAAATAAGTTAGACCCAAGTGTCCTTTAAATAATGTGAAAATATAAGTGACTTTTCTTTAAATACTGCATTTGACATTTGAGTATTTAAAGAGGAAAAATGCATGTAAATAACATTGAAAGCTATTTTAAAGATACAGCGTTAGGATGTAATTGTGATGTCACAACCAGCTACGCTATTCTGAGGAAATTATCATTTCTACTTAATGCCTTCAACATAAAAGATACTTTAACATGTTATCACCTTTATTACAGAAGAAAATTCCACAAGACAGAATGAGGATTTAGGAAGCCAGTTCACAGAAATTTTCATTAAGCTGCCAGAAAATGTCACGCTCCTGTTATCTCTGTTGGAGGTAATTTTTAAAAAAATGGAAAAAGAAAAAACAACCCTTGCTACTTGTCATATTAATAAGCTGCTTTTGTTGCGTTTTGGGGTTTTTTTTATTATCTGTTTGTAGGAAATATATATATATATATATTTTTTTTTTTTTAAGGGAAGGGGGTGGTCACACCTGGCAATGCTCAGTATTTACTCCTGGCATTGCACTCAGGATTCACTCCTGGCAATTCTCAGAGAATTGAACCCGGGTCATTCAAGGCAAGTTCCTTACCCGCTTTACTCTCTCCAACCCCAAAGCAGCATCTTTTTATACCAGTGAAATTTGTTGTATCATTATAAGATGTTAATACATGTTTTAAGAACTGTAGACTTGTTAAACAACCTGTTCCTTATTTCTGTTGTTGCAATACTGTTTTATTCAGTCAACAATAAAATGAATTTGATCTGTTCACATTAACTTTTCTTTTTAATGATTAAATTTAGAGAAATGCGAGGGGAAAGAGAGAAAAATATGCGTTCAAGAGAGAACCTGGGCTTCTCCAGAATGGAAAAAGCCTGTTTTTTTAATTACTTTTTAAAAGCTTAGCAAATTATCATGGGTGTGTGTGTGTGTGTGTGTGTGTGTGTGTGTGTGTGTGTGTGTGTGTGTGTGTTTACATGCATGTGCTTTTAGTTTTTGGTATACTATTAGTTGAATTAAAATGTCCTCGAAAATATAAATTTTAGCTATTGAATATTTCAAATTCTTTCTGTTATAGGAATTTGATTTCCATGTCCGCTGGCCTGCTGTGAAGCTTCTTACTTCTCTTTTGAAACAGCTGGGACCTCAAGTCCAGCAGATTATTTTGGTCAGTCCTATGGGTAAGTGATTTATCTTATGTCTTTTTTTTTTAATTGAAAAGTGAGCAGTATTTCCTAAAAGGGGGAATTTAAATGATGTGATAATAAAAGGTTGATAATTTGATTTTCTATTTGTACTTTTGGTCTGCTACTGTTTCATGGTTGTGTGTTCTAGGTGTTTCAAGACTGATGGACTTATTAGCAGATTCCAGGGAAGTTATACGTAATGATGTAAGTTAAATTTGATAAGTAAGTCTATAAATACATATCTTTCTCTTTGTAAATGAAATTTTGTTCGTTTGGTTGGTTGGTTGGTTGGATTTTTGGTTGTTTCCTATTTTGTTTTTTGGGTGACACCCAGCAATGCTCAGGGGTTACTTCTGGCTCTGCACTCAGGAATTACTCCTGGCAGTGCTTGGGGGACCCTATGGGATGCCGGGGATAAAACCTGGGTCGGCCATGTACAAGGCAAACACCAAATCTTTGTTTTAACTTAAACATTAAAAGTTAAATTTGGAGTAATGGTCAATCTTTTAGACCAGTGGTTTTCAGCTGCCAGTCCACAGAAATTTCATGTTGGTGCTTAACATTGTTATGCCTGGACCATGTACCAATACTTTTAAGAATAACCATATATAAATGTTATTAAGAGAATATTCTTCTTGTAAATTTGCTCGATTTGCTCGAGCGGGCCCAGTAACGTCTCCATTGGAGACTTTGTTGTTACTGTGTCTGGCATATCGAATACGTCACGTGTAGCTTGCCAGGCTCTGCCGTGCGGGCGAGATACTCTCGGTAGCTTGCCAGGCTCTCCGAGAGGGGCGGAGGAATCGAACTCGGGTCAGCCATGTTGGCTGCTTGTAAGGCGAACGCCCTACCCGCTGTGCTATCGCTCCAGCCCTAATGATTTTTATTTCTTCCATAGTGGTCCACAAAATATTTGTGTTCTCACCAGTCCGTGGACTTCAGTCATATAGTGTTTCACAACAAATGTCCCCGGTTCCCCCCCGGGAATAAAAGCTCTGCATTTATTGCCGTTGCCCATTCTGAATTGTTTTCATTTATGCATGTATGATTAAATATTTTATATCAGTGTGATTTTTTTTAATTCCTTGAAACTTTTTATGTTATGCACAGCTTACCCTAAATTTTAATAAGTTGCCTTGCACACTGCCAAACCCACTTTAATTATCAGCATGACTTGGTCTCCCCAAGTTCACCAGTTCACCATGTACAATTGCAGGGGCCCCCAAGCACCATGGGGTGTGGCCCCCTAAGCATCCTGAGCATTGCTGAGTAGCCTAAGTGTTCCCTGGCACCAAAGCCCGAGCAGCACTATATTCTCAGGCCCTCAAATTTAGCTAGTGTCCAGTTTGCCAAGAAATAGCCCCCTATCCCCCAAAAGTAAAAATGGTGCTGAAGTGATAGCACAGTGAGTAGGGCATTTGCCTTGTATGTGGCCGACCCGGATTCGATTCCCAGCATCCCATATGGTCCCCTGAGCACCACTAGGAGTAATTCTTGAGTGCAGAACCTGGAGTAACACCTGTGCATTGCTGGGTGTGATCCAAAAAGCAAAAAAAAAAAAAAAAAGAAGAAGAAATGAAATCACAAACACTGAAATTTCACCATTATGTACTTGAGTATGAGTACACATGCCTAAGTTTACATGTGCGTGTGCATATATCTCTGTACACATATGTATGCACAGAATTCCCTTATTTTTTTTCCATAAACTCTTTGCTACCTCTGACATCAGGGTATTATTGGACCTTTCCTGAGGTACCTGTCATTTGACAGTGAAATAAACAAAAGTGCGTGAGAATGTTTTTCAACTTTGGGGAGGTTATATCTGAACGTTGTCTGCCAAAATGTGACGGGGTTTGTTGATTTATAGTATATATTTCACAATTTGTTATTTATTCTGTTGTAAAACGTATACAGTGACATTCTTTGGACAGATGTAGTCATATTCAACTCTCAGGCAATACTGAAAGCTAGAGATTGATGAATATTAAAAAATTGCTGTACATCTATATTATACAGTGAAAAGACAACTGAATTAGGAATTGGTAGGCATGGATTCTCCTATAGGCTCTATCCCTTTGATAGATCACTTGAGGAAAGTAAAATGCTTAATTTCTCAGTTCTTTCTTTTGTTTTTTTGTTTGTTTGTTTGGGGGCCACATCTCACGGTACTCAGGACTTACTCCTGACTCTGTGCTCAGAAATCATTCATGCCAGGATTGAGGAACCTTATGAAATTCCGGGGATTTTAACCCATTTGGTCATGTGCAAGGCAAAAACTCTACCCACTGTACTCCAGCTCCTTCATTTCTCGTTTATTGTTTTCTCTAATTATAAAGAAAGACTTGGTCTTGTAAATTTTATGCCACTTCTAAAGTTCTGTATTTTGGGGGGGCCAGACTGGTAGTAGAGCAGGTAGGGCATTTGCCTTACACGCAACCAACCAGGGTTCGATCCCTGGCATCCCATATAGTTCACTGAGCAGCACCAGGAGTAATTTCTGAGTACAGAGCCAGGAGTAACCTCTGAGCATCGCCAGCTGTAACCCCCAAAACAAATCAAATCAGTGTGTTTTTAAAATTCACTGATTTATAGTATGCAAAGTTGTGGGTTAGTATGCCTTCATATGTGTAATCAGCCCCAGACCCACCAATAGAACTGCCTGCCTTCGTTTGACTTCTTTCAAAACCCTCTCTCACCTGCTATTTGTTTGTTTTTTCATTTGTTTGTTTGTTCTGAGAGCCACCATAATTTTTACTGAGTCCAAGACTTAGTTTTGTCATTTCTTTAATTGTTTTGTTTTGTTTTTACAGTAACTATTAGTAACATCGTATAAAAGTTAAATTCCACTAAACATTATCTTCCCTTTCCCAAAGGGTGTCTTGCTACTGCAGGCACTAACGAGAAGCAATGGAGCAATCCAGAAAATTGTGGCTTTTGAAAATGCTTTTGAGAGACTACTGGACATTATCACCGAGGAGGGGAACAGTGACGGAGGTACAGTATGAAACCACTGACTTAAAGAGATTCCTTTTGTTCCTATTAAATCGATGGACTTCAGCTGCCAGTTCACATACTTCTGCCAGTCTGAAGGTGTAGAAAAATTGAAAACCACTGATCTATCTCTTTGGTTATACCTGTCAGTCCGTGGACCAGGATGCAGCCAGATACTGTTCTGCAAGTGTAAACAAGTTAAACGACATTGTGCTTAATGTATTGTTAACTTGAAGGAATGCCGCTGGAGGGAGATACGGACTCTTGATTCTTTCTTTTATTCTAGTGTGTTGAATGTGGCTTTCTTTTTTTTTTTTAATCCCTTTCCCATTTGTAACTCCTGAGACTTTTGGAATATGGATTGGTGTTTTTCATCATTTCTAGAAAATCTTTTACTTTGTCTCTACCACTTTTTCTCTCTCCTTTCAAGCTCAGATTCAGTTTTCTGTCAGCTGATTTAGTACTCATTTATTTTGTTTTCTGTCTTTTCATATATTTGTCATTCTGGGATTTTTTTCTGGGTTATGCCTTCTTATTTGTTTTCTATTCCATTAATTCTCTTCACCTGTATGTATTGTTTGTTTGTTTTTTTGTTTGGTTAGTTGGTTTTAGATTTGGGGACCACACCCAGCTGCTCAGGGCTTATTCCTGGCTCCATCCTCAGGGATCCTGGTGGGTTCCAGGAACTGTTATCCCTTGGTGGTGTGATCCCCCCCAAAAAAAAATAGAAAGAAAAGAAAAAGAATGTGCTTATAAACAAAAGATACTTTGAATGCGCATTTGCCTCTCTAGATACTAATTTTCTCTTCAGTTGTAGTCTGCTAAGCACTCTTAATTGCTCCAAAGACTTTCTTTAACTCAACATTTTGTTTTAGTTGTTTTTAATAAAAACCTATTATCTGAGTGTGAGGAGAAAAAGGAGTTCTACTTAAGTACATTGAATTAGGACTAGCAAGTAAAGTAGAGTTGACAGTTGGACATATGAATATGGAGAAGAAGGCCATGCTGATGATGGCAGTCTTCAGACTAGAGGGAATCACTCAAAGTAGATACACAAGAAAGATGAGCCCTCGAGTAACCAAGGGTAAGTGCAGACTGAGACTGAGAAGTGCTCGAACAGAGCCTCAGCTGTGCTCGCAGTTAGGGATAGTGGGAGAGCAGGAATTAGTAAGACGCACCTTAAAAAGCTGAACATGCAGGTCCATGATCCGGGTCGCCCAAGAGCTACTGGGTGTGGCCCAAAAAACAAAAAGAGGTTGAGAAGATCCAAACTGAATGAGAAGAGAACCATGGTATTTTTAGGAGGAAATGGGGAATGCAGTTGCTGTCTTGAAAGTCGCTCATATATCAGAGAAGAGGAGGCCAGAAATGTGTGTGAGATTTAGAACATGGAGCTACTGGTGATCTTGGGGGTAGCCGTTGCGTCCAGGGGCACCATAGAATTCAAATTGCAGTTTCGGGGGGAGTGAGTTAGAGATGAGAAAATGCAATTAGAAAACTCACCCCAAGATTTTAGGAACGGCAGGAGAGAATTTGAAATATGAAGAAAATAATAGAAAAGCGAACAACAAAATCTTGCACTGTTCAGTGAACTAAAAGCTTACATATTTGTCACGTGTTTTTGATTTTTTTTAAGAAATAAAATGAAGTTTTAAAATCAGTATATAAGCATACTATTATATGCTGCCAACCTAGACAAGGAATATTATTCTGAATATAGTTCTACAGCTTGCTGTTTCCACTCAACATTCTGTTTATCTCCTGTTAGTAACACGTTACTCTATTCATTTAAAATACTATATATTTGTGCTGGAAAAATCAGACCACAGAGAATAAGGCTCTTTTTATGCACTAGCCTACCTGGATCTGAGCTCCAGCACCACATATGGTCCCCTGAGCACTGCCAGCTGTGACACTAAAAAGTATAAAATGCTATATATTCTGTCATATAAAATGTTAGATATTCTTTCGTATGAATATGTTATGCACTATTCTTATTCTGGGTTGATTATTGGAGCATACCTATTTTGCTAATATAAGCTGTTGTAGTAAGTATCTGTATGTGTTTACTTGTGTGAAATTCATGTACCTATACAAATAGAGTCACTTTTTTTTTATCTTTAACTGATATTGCCAGTCATCTCTCTTACGTGGCCTCAGGCACCATGCGTCCATTAGCAGTGTTCCTAGTTAGTTTCCTCCCATCCCTGTTAGCTCTTGCTTGCCAGTGTGATGGGTAGGAGATGGTATCTCAATGAGACTTTAATTATAATGATATTTATATATGTATGAAGGTATCTTCTGAATTCTTTCCTTTGTTAGTCTGTTTGGCAGCCCAGAGATTCTCGTACTTATTTGGCCTTCTTCCCCCTCTTCAGAAAGCCTAGATTCCACTAGAAAACTTGACAGTACCCCGCTCACACTTCCACCTGGCTTCAAAGGTTCGCCTCCCTGCAACCCCAATCATTCCAGCACCCTCTCTGGATGCCACATGCACCACTTTGGGAAATGCTGGTCTGGATCTACACGAAAACCTCTTTTACTAAAAAAGCTTCCTAAGTCTTTCTGTATCTTAAAAAAATCTTTTACCTTAACCATCTTCAGTAATGTCTTAACAAATCTTTTTCTTTTGTTCTTTCATTTAAAATCAAATTTGTTTGCTGGTCAAGTTCTAAGAAAAACCTCTGTTGACATTTTGTATTGAGTCTGTAAATTTAAGAGAATGATACTTACCATGTTAACTTTTATATCAGTGAACTGAGGGTTGCTATCTCTTAGTTTATTTAGGTCTTTTATGTCAGTGATCTTTCATAATTTTTAACGAAATTTTTATTTCTTTGGGTTTGATCTCTGGCATTGCAATAAAATTCTTTTTAATAAAATAATATAGGCATCATACAGTTACATTTCTGTTATTGTTGTTTTTTTGATTGGTTGGTTTTTTTGTTTGTTTTTGAGCTACACCCAGCAATGCTTAGGGCTTACTCTTGGCTCTTTGCTCAGGGGTCACTCCTGACAGGCTCCGGGGACCATATCAGGTTCCAGGGATTGAACCCAGGTCAGTTATGTGCAAGGCAAATGCTCTATCTGCTGTCGCTCTGGCCCCAATATTTTTATTCATTTTTACTATTTTCCTATTACTTTAGCAAATTAGTGGTGTGTAATACCTGAAAAAGAAGGGCGGAATGGAATCCATAGTGGACATAGGAATTGGCTTTTAACATAGAAAAAGAAGTGCATCTGCCATTGAATTGGAAGGTGTTGGTCTATTTTTAAACCTGATGATAAGGAATTAAGTTGAAGGCCAGAGTCATAGGGTAAGAGTCAATAAAATGGAAGAACATAAAAACCAAGATATCAACAGAAGTGTGTTTTTTGGAGGAAATTTTTCCCCGGTGTCAGGGATCAAACACAGGTGTCACATATGTAGTGCATGTACTATAACTACTGAGCCTCCTCCATAGCCCATAGGTGTACATTTCTTAGAGGCGACCAAGAAAAAACAGAATTTTAAGGCTTTGTAACAGTAGCTTACAAACTTTCAGGGTTGCTAAGACAAATTCCAGTAGTTGTTTAAAACTGATAGGAACCTCAAGGCTCTGAGTTCACATCATGGAGTCAGGGAGATAGTCATAGCGTAGGCCAGTCTCTCAGTTTGATCTTCAGCATCATTCCTCCTTTTTCCCCTGCCCACTCCACCAAGCACAGCCTGGTAAAGCTCTGGTTGCCCTGGAGAAATCTGCACCACAACTCCCTACAAGCTCTGTGGGGTGAGTCCCCTGTTAAAAAATGCTTAGCCAACTGGAAAAGAAGCCTGCCAGTTACAGTGAGGGCTTTAAACATTCTGTTTTCTCCAGAGCCTTTAAATGATCCTCCTGGCAGACCTTATTTAATGAGACCTATGACTCTGCATGAGAGATACTTACAGAGGTTTTTGCTCAAGGGATGAGGACCCACATGATTCAACACTAAGAGGTAAGAAATCCTCTACTCTGAGGATGTAAGACTGACTTTAAAATATATAAAGGTACACCACAGGCATTTTCAGTTAAATGTAATAAAACTCAGGGCTGAGGAAGTAGCTCAGTGGTGCAGCACTTGTTCCCATATATAAGGTCCTGAGTCTGGTCCTGGCACTCCAAAAATACTCAATCAGTGCCAGAGAGAATACTCAGTGGGCTGAGCAAAACATGCAAGAGACCAGGGTTCAGTTCCTAGCGCTGCATGGTCCCCTAGGCACCATCAGGAGCAACCCCTCAGCATGGCCAGATATGCCTTCCCCTTAATAAACAACTACTAACAATAACATGTAGAAAAGTTTTAATAGATGTACTTTTCAAAAGTTTTCCCCATTTTTAGTGAGGAATCATGATATACAGACTGTTGTTAGCAGGTTCATTATTCTACCACCAAACCCGAGTCTAGAAGGCCCCTTTCCCTCCACCAGAGTCCTTAGGACCTGCCCCTTCCCTAAAATATATAAACTTTTGTATTTTTCAAGTTGGATCAGAACTTTTTCTTTGAGTATTGTCTGCTAATTGGAATTTTTTTTTTAATCAATTTTCTTGCACACCTCATACCCTGCATCTTGCATCTTGTTTTCTTTAAATGATATGCAGGATCTTATTCTAGGTTTTTTTTTTTATAGGTACTTTCCTTATTGTTTAGATTACCTATACTTAACAGTACTGGTTCTTACTAACTTGTTTTCTTGAGTATAAAACAGGAACAAAACTGCTTGACTCTATTGCCATGCTTCTATTTGGCAATTCATGTGAGAGGTAATTAATAATCAGTGCAAACAGGTTGGTAAATATGTGAAATTACCCTTAGATACGTTCTTTTGTTTTTTTGTTAATTGCTTTTGCACTAAAAGCAAAAGCCTGATCCATGAAAGAAAAAAAACTGGTACTGACTTTGTAAGTGAACAAAAAACCTAATGAAAGATTTAAACCAGTATCTCTCTTAAAAAGTACAGAGATGGCAATAGCTTATGGAAGGTT